TGTCTGTCTGCCTATGATCCATGCATACTCAAGCAGTTAATATTGAGGACATATATCTGAAAGTCACATCTTGGTATCCTAGTTCTTTTCCATGACATGCCCTTTCCTGAGCAGTATCCAGAAGTGCCTTGGATTTCTTCCAACTATGGCTAGTAAAAGTCCTTTTAAAGCCAGGGGAGCAAGATCCAGTGGCTCAGCAGCTTAGGACTATCCAGTTGATGGAGTTTTATGTCTGTGTACATGTACCTGTCCTAGGGATTGATGACTGGATATGAAGGCTGAAATTCATATGCTTGCTATTCATATTCACTTAGTGAAAATTCTTTAGTGATAACCATATTAAACAATTTTAAGTATTTTATAAAATCAATACATAGCTATATGATTATTTAACTCACCAAGCCATCTTGGCCTTCTCCTATCTTTAAGATATAAGACGTTTACCTATAAAATGTTAAATGAGCATTAATCCAGGTAGTTTCACTACGAACATAAAGAACATGAAGTTATTTCTAATCTGGATATACCAGGAGCATAGTGACATTTAACAGTGCTGGATTTTTGGTGTTACAGAGTAATGAACTTATGCCCTTCTGCTACAGTGACTATTCTCTCTTTGGAATTATTTGCTAATCAAGAAAACATATAGAACAAATGAGTGACCGTTTTATAGAAATAATTTTGATTTGTAACTTTTTAAACCTAGTAAAGCAGCCATCCTTGAACTGTGTTATTAATAGCAAGTTACATTGGCCACACCTTGCAACTGATGTCATCCATATCACTGATCAGAGGGAAGTAAGACCAGCATGAGTGCCTGCTTCCACTCCACCATTTTTTCCTCTATTGCTTTTTCTTGGTTTTCAAATTAATATATTGCACATCATCTTTCCATTCTGGTAGATGAGGATTTAGTTATATTGTACCACTCTCTGTTTCCCCTTTCTTTATATCCTGTCAATATATAATTCGATGCAGTTTTTGTTAAATCAGTAGTTAGTGCTTACCTTATTGTGACAATACAAATATTGTTCACTGCAGAGCTAAATTGTCTATTATGTTGACCTTTTCTTTCTTGAATAACTTCATTCCTCCCCACCCCATGCTGCCCCTGAAGTTAGTAATTGCCCCCATTTAAAAACTTTTGCTTAGTTATGTGAGTACCGAACATTTGTTTTCATTTTTCCCGGAGATTTTTGTCCCACTGAATTCTGTCATCTTAATCCTATCTTGGTTGTTTTGTTTTGTTTTTTTCCAGGTCTGACATTTGGCTATCATCTTAGGGCTTCTTTCTCTTTCTTGGGTTAGTCTGTTCCTACATTTGATTTCCTCCCCCACTTTCCCACCATCTTCTTTTAGTTTAGTCTCTTAATTAATTCATGGAATACATCTTTTAGTTAGCTGTGTAAGAAAAGGGTATGCAGTAGGCAATTTCTTGAATGCTTCTTTTTCCCAGATGTATAGTTTGGTTTGGTGTAGAATTTTAGGGTAAGTAATCTGTAGTTGTCAAGAAGTGTGATGCTAATCTGGTCACTTTTCCTCTGTTATGTGACCTTTTTTCGTTCTGGAAGTTGCTGAAGTCCTTGAAAGATTGCAGTAGTGCATCTTGGTGTGGGTTGTTTTTGCATCCTTTGTTCCTGCTAAACCTGAGCTCTGAAAATATTGAGTTTGTGTACTTCAGAGAATTAGCTTTCTGCCCAGGAATATAGTTTTATCCAGCATGTATCTCTGTGTGTGTGTGTGTGTGTGTGTGTGTGTGTGTGTGTGTGTGTGTGTAAAAGGCATAGACACTGGGCATCCTACCTTTGCCATGCAGCCTGTGACAGCAGCCAGTCCTACTGTTCTTTGCCCTTAATTATTAGGCCTCAAAGCGATTCTGCAGGGCAAAACTCTGCTGCTTTTTGGTATTTCCCTCTGCATGCCTTTCTTTCTCTTTATTAAGTTGTCTTTCCTGTTGTCCTTATTGGTTGAAAACTTGCAGCTGCCAATTTCTCTGAGGCTCTCTGTTCTTCTGGCATATTCCTTTAGACAGTGAGGTTTTTGACATGGAAAGAAGATAAATCTAATGTAGTTCATCCAATCTTTATTGAAGCAATAGTTTTGTTTTCTACATCAATTCTGGTTTCCAGTGTATATAGTAATTATTTTTAAATTGCAGCAAGAGAAATGCCAGAGTGTCACCCCTATACTATACATCTGTTGCATTCTATAATGTAAAACTACTTCAGGACAATCTAAGTGCTTGTGCATATACCCACTTATGCCACCCCCACCTCTGTATTATCTGTCTGTTCATTTATTGAGTCAGAGTCTCACTCTGTTGTCCAGGCTGGAGTGTGCAGTGCTACAATCTTGACTCCCCCCACCTCACCCTCCCAGATAGCTACGATTACAGGCATTCACCACCGTGCGTGGCTAATTTTTTTGTGTATTTTTTTTTCAATATATATTTTTACAGTAGAGACGGGGTTTTACCATGTTGGCCAGGCTGTTCTCTAACTCCTAACCTCAAGTGATCCACCTTCCTTGGCCTCCCAAAGTGCTAGGATTACAGGTGTGAGCCGCTGTGCCTGGATTTTTGTGTTTGGTTTTTTTTTTTTTTTTTTTTTTTTTTTTTTGGACGGGGTCCTCTTTTTTTTTTGGTTTTTTTTTTTTTTTTTTTTTTTTTTTTTTTTTTTTTTTGAGACAGGGTCTCACTCTGTTGCCTGTGTGGGAGTGCAGTAGTGCAATCACAGCTCACTAAAGCCTTGACCTCCCAGGTTTAAGCAATCCTCTTACCTTGGCCTCCCAAGTAGCTGGGATTACAGGTGTGTGCCACTGTACCTGGCTGACTTCTTTCTCCTCTCCTCCCCTCCCCTCCCCTCTCCCTCTTCTTTTCTTTCCTTTCCTTTTTCCTTTCCTTTCTTCGATAGGGTCTCACTGTGTTGCCTAGGCTACTCTCAAACTCCGGGACTCAAGTGATCCTACCACCTCAGCCTCTGAAAGGCTGGGATTACAGGCATACGCCATCATGCCTGGCCAGTTTAGATTCTCATGTATTTTTCTTGCTGAAGTGGTTTTTAAGTTATAATAGTATTTATCTTGTCTGTTGGTCTGGCCACAAAATATTTATAATACTTCTATGACAAAATTTCATAGTTATTATTATCAGTAATAGAGACACGTAATTACAAAGCTAGTATTTATTCAGCACTTTCTTTGTGCAGCTTTACAAAATACTTTATGTGGGTTATATCATCTTTACAACAAGCATGCAAGGCATAAGTATTGTTTTTACCTGTTCTTGTTTTATTTTCGTTGCATAGTATTTATTTTCTTGGAACCAGGAATGACTGAGTAGAAATCATGGTTTTATGTGCTCACATTGCTTTTTGTTTTTGTTTTAATTATAGAAGTAATTCATGTTCATTGAATACATCTTTTAGAAGTAATTCATATTTAAGAATACTCTTTCTTAGGTTTTACAGAATATAAAATCAAAACATGTACATGTTTATTATAGATTTTGGGCTTGTTGGGTTTTATGTTCAATAAATTTACAAAGTAAATACACTAAACAGTTAAAAAGAAATCATGCAAAGCCAAATTGAAATTATTATGGATTGCCATAAATAGATCACTGTTGTAATGTGAATATTGTATGAACCAACCCACAGGTTCTTCTGAGTTCTGCATTGCATATACTCCAAGTACACTGTGTGATGATGACTCATCTCTTTGACCACTTAGCCCTCAACTCTTATCATAAGTAAATTTATGGCTTCTATTTAAGATTCTCCTTGTGATCTTACATGTAATTTAGTTTTAAGTCTATTTTATAGCTGTTTGAAAATAACTTTTCCTTAAGTATTGAGGTCTTTTTAAGTTGTACTTAATTTTGTTTCAGATTACCTGTGACCGTACTACTTTTTGTCCAATTTTGCTGAAATCTGACCATCTAATTGTGGTTTTGACATTTTCATTTTGGGGCTTAAATTTTTTTAACTGCCTGTTTAGAGCTATCAGTGGAATTTTTTGAAATAGTAAGCTTATTTATCCTTGAATGTTTCACATAAATATATTCAGCCCCAGGTAGTTCATATATTAAGAATTCCTACTAGTTTTCACATATTTTTCAAGTCAGATTTGTCAAGGTATCATTTATATACAGTAAAATCTACCGTTTATTAAATGTATACAGTTTATTGACTGTTGGCAGATTTATAAAGTCCTTTAAGCACTGCTATAGTCAGGATATTGACTGGGCCCAATGGTTCATGCCTGTAATCCCAGCACTTTGGAAGACTGAAGTGGGAGGATTGCTTGAGGCTAGGGATTCAAGACCAGCTTGTGCAACATAACAAGACCCTGTCTCAACAAAAAATTTAAAAATTAGGACAGCATGTTGGCGTGTGCCCGTAACTCCAGCTACTAGGGAGGCTGAAGCAAGAGGAGTGCTTGAACCCAGGAGTTCAAGGCTACAGTGAGCTATGCTAATGTTACTGCACTCCAGCCTTGATGACAGAGCAAGACTCTATCTCAAAAAAAAAAAAGAGAAAGATATTGAACATTTTTCATTATTCAAAGAATTCCCCCATGTCCCTTGCAGTCACTTTCTTCCCTCTCCCCTACCCCTTGGAAACCACTGATCTCATTTCTTTTCCTCTCATTTTGCCTTTTCTAGAATATCATAAAAATGTCTGCTTCATGAAGGGGATAATTTTTTTAATGTCAAAAAATAAAAGCCTTTTGTACCTAGTAATAGCACCTATCAGTTGAAGACTTCAGCAATTATTCTTGCCAGATAGTTACTAAGCTGTGTTCATTTTAGTTACTGAAGGTGTTGTATGTAATCAAATAGTGAAAACTCTTAAAAATTTGTTTAGTCATCTAAACATTAAAAATTATAAATTTTAGTATGTTGGCAAAGCTCCAGATATCCATGTGAATTACAGTTCTGGGCATATATGTACTAACTTAAGTAGATAAGCTTTGTCCTTTTTTTTTTTTTTTATTTTTAGATGTGGTGGTACAGTGGGGGCTATTCTGACATGTCCACTGGAAGTTGTAAAAACACGGCTGCAGTCATCTTCTGTGACACTTTATATTTCTGAAGTTCAACTGAACACCATGGCTGGAGCCAGTGTCAACCGAGTAGTGTCTCCTGGACCTCTTCATTGCCTAAAGTGAGAGCATAGTATTCATGAGTCTTTTTTAGTTTGTTTGCCTAAGTGATTTCTAGATGTTTGTTTACTTATATTCTGCCACATTTAAAAAGGTTCTTTATAAACCTAATTACAGAAATTACTCTGACTTATAAGGAATGATAATCCCTAATGGAGAACAGTTAGATAATATAAAATGTAATTTTATTTCCAAGTCATTTGTATTTAGAATATTTCTTTTTTGTATTTTTAATAGAACAGAGTTTCACCCATATTGGTCAGGCTGGTTTTGAACTCCCAACCTCAGGTGATCCGCCTGCCTTGGCCTCCCAAAATACTAGGATTACAGGTGTAAGCCACCTCGCCCAGCCTGTTTTTAGAGTATTTTTACATTTATCCAGTGAATTTTTTTCTAAGGCTATTATAAGTATTTTATTTTGGATTATTCATTTACTTTGGAAATGTGATAATGTTTAATGCTAACTCCTTTTGTGTATGTTTTTAATGTTCCAAGTACTCACAAGTAAGTATATCCAATTAATGATAATCTGTGATTTTTGTGTAACATAAATACAACTGAGTCTTACAGCAGAGTTCTAATGCTATTCAGGATTTGTTTAACATTTCCTGATGGTTTGAAAAAGATTTGTTTTTACATTTTCCCATACTTTGTTATGTTGCAATTGGATTTGAAATTTTTGAAAACTATTAAAATCAGGTTTTGCATGTTTATACTTGTAAATGACTGAATGCCTGTGTCTGCCTTATCAGCTCACTGTTTGAACTTAGTTCAGTACTGTTTATTTTGTAGTAACAAATAAACTCATTCTGTGTATTTACCTTTGTTACTAAAAGATTTCATCAACCTTTTCTTTTTTAAAACTTGCTTACATAAGTACGTGAATAGGTATGAATGGGTAGAATAAAATTGATAACAGTTTTGGATTGAAATGCCATAGTTAGGCCGGATGCAGTGGCTTATGCTGGGTGGTAATCTCAGCCCTTAGGGAGGCCGAAGCAGGTGGATCACCTTGAGACCAACCTGGCCAACGTGGTGAAACCCCTTCTCTACTAAAAATACAAAATTAGCCAGGCATGGTGGTACACACCTGTAATCCCAGCTACTCAGGAGGCTGAGGCAGGAGAATCACTTTAACCTAGGAGCAGAGGTTGCAGTGAGCCGAGTTCGCACCACTGCACTCCAGCCTTTGCGATACGATGAGACTCCATTTCAAAAAAAAAAAAAAAAGCCATAGTTATAAATACTTCTAATTTATAATAGTAAAAGGATTTTAATATCATGATTTTGATATTTACTACCACTGATTGCCTCTCCTTAAAATTCTTCTTTTGACCTCTGTAATATAAATTCTCTTTTTCAGTGGTTTTGCCCTCTCTTCACATGAACTTTAGTAACCCTTTTGGGCTGTGTTTTAATTCCTCAGTTTTTCAGGCCCTCTTTTAAGCTCTTTATATATTAATTTACTTAATCCTCATGATAACCAGTAAGGGGGTACTGTTCTTTATTTACTGCTGATGAAACTATGAGAGAAAAGTTATTTCATTGTCTTAGAGTTATCAGTTACCAGCATTGGGCTTCATACCTGAGAAGTCTGGCCACTCAGTTCACGCCTTAAATTAACCATTAGGCCCAACTACCCTTCAGTAGATCACTCTTAAGCAGGTAGATGTTTGAGAACTACCTGGCCTAGTCTGTTAACTCTGAATTAAAATACCTACTCTTCACTTTCTGTTCCTTCTCATTGCCAAAACTTCATTTCATAACTTACTCCAGGAAAGCCTTCTGTGACTTAGACATGGCTCTCTGTTCCTTTCTCTGCTGGGTATATTTGTATCTAGGTTGTATAGTATTTGCTTGTTAATATGGTCTGTTAATTAATTGTTACGTTATAATTCTTTTTACCAAAACCGAACAGCAAATTTCTCAATGTCAGGGGCCTCACCTTCTTTTTTTCATTTACTTACTTTTTCTAGTTATAAACAGGTAACTATATATACAGTTAAGTACTTAGTATAGCAGGTGTTAACTGAGTGGCAGGAGAAATAACAGGCCAACCATTCTAGTACCCTAAGTGACATTAGGGTAATAGATTCTGCTACAGCATTTCAGTGGAATGGGGATGAGGTAATACTGCAGTACTAAGGAGTATTGTCCAATATTGAGTAAAAGACCTCAAAACCAGGAAGGAACTACATTTCTAACTGATGTGTGGTTATTAAGCTTTCAACTTGCTGGTAAAGATAGTAAAATTAAGGAAATCAAAGATAAGAGTAGCATGATCATATGAAAATAATGTAGAAGTCTTTATTATTGTGTCAATCTTTCAGGAAAGAATCCGAACAGACTTAAAAAAATCATTACTAGTAAATCTATTATCAATATTAAACAATTTATGTTGTCATAAAAAAAAAAAGTTTTTTTTTTTTTTTTTTTTTTGAGACAGAGTTTCCCTTTGTCACCCACGCTAGAGTGCAGTGATGTGATCTCGGCTCACTGCAACCTCTGCCTTCTGAGTTCAAACGATTCTTCTACCTCAGCCTCTCGAATAGCGATTACAGGCATGCGCCACAATGCCCAGCTAATTTCTATATTTTTATTAATAACGAGGTTTCACAATGTTTGCCAGGCTGGTCTTGAACTCCTAACCTCAAGGAATCTGCCCACCTCAGCCTCCCAAAGTACTGGAATTACAGGCATGAGACACTGCACCTGGACACAAATTTTTAATAAATAAGGAAGACTCACCAGAGAAGCATAACATTATAATACAAAATACCGGATTTAGACTCTAACTTTATTCATACAAAGTAAATAAATTACCAAACTTTGAAGGGTATTTCTAATATAATTTTTTTCTCTTTCAGGGTGATCTTGGAAAAAGAAGGGCCTCGTTCCTTGTTTAGAGGATTAGGCCCCAATTTAGTGGGGGTAGCCCCTTCCAGGTAAAAAAAAAAAAAATGTTTAAAGTTAAGCAGATTATGGCAGTCTCTTTTGTTTCAGCATACCTGGATTTAATCATATACAGTTAAATTTATAAATGTGGTTTTCAGTGTTTATGGGATGTTAAAATACTTCATTTTCTTTTTAAGAATTTCAGATGCTAGCCAGAACAAATTTATATAATAAAGTAATGTTTGGTGATAGAAATGGTACTGGATATTTTGAAGATAACAATATTTCAATACTGTTGGAAATTAACAGTAGTAATACAAATACAAAGGCTGTGTTTCATAATGTAAGGGAGAAGGTATAGTATTTGCATTAAATTATTGATAGTCTTATAACTGGGGGAGAACAAAGAAGTATGGCATGTTATAGCTAGAAGTTTAAGGAAAACTGTATTTATAGATAGGCATTTTAAATGTTAAAATTCTGTAGGTGGACCTGAGATTTTTGGGGGAGATGTTGTAATCACAATATTGAAGATATTATATATCTTTATATTACATAGATACAAAATTAGTAATATTTGCAAGCTAAATCTGGAAACACCCTTGTAGCTGGTGGCACTGTATTGAGTCTTCTGGGGAAATGACAGTATAAGCAATACTCTCATCTGACCATAGGAGTTAGAAGAATTTGAGGGTGCAGAATTGGAAATCTACACAGGGCTAAGCCTTATTTTGAGATAAGTGTTTGGCAGATTTGTGCATTTAACTAAACCAGCTTTTGCATGTCAAAGAATTTTGTCTCTAAGAAAAATAAGCATTCTTTTAAATAAGTATTTTCCTTGGGCCAAAAGGCATTTAGGGTATCTCAAATTTTTCTACTTTTCATAACTATCCTGCTCTGCGCTCTGCCTGAAGTTAGTGCTCCTTTCTCACTTTCAATATAGAAATTAAACTTCAAAGAAACAAAATGGAAAAGTAGAACTAAAGGACTAGGAAAGATGTCAGGGCCTAGAACAGGGTTGAAGAAAGGGACAAAAAGTGTGAAAACATGAGAATTTGTGTATCATTGAAGGGCAATATGTGATGTACATGGCCTTTACCATAATAAAAAGGTAGCTAATCAAGGAAGATGCTGAAGAGATGTCAGGGTGAGAAGCATAAAGACCTATGGTGTAACAAACAGGTATCAGTAACCATCTAAAAGGATGGGCATGGCACCATGTGTAGGTGCAAAGGACCTCATAGTAAGATCATTGTGAAGCAGTTTTTATACAAAGTCAAAAGACAGAGAACAAGCAAAAGAACTAATAACTTAAAGGAACAACCAAAGGAACTAGCAGTAAAAAAGGGGAAGATCTGGAACTCTTAAAACTAAGTCATTTTTTGGCTTATGGGGCAAACCAAACAGATAGAATGGTTCCATTCCCTATGAAGGAAGCCAAAAGGACATGAAAACATCACTGTCATTTTTCTCTGACACTGTTGTATCTTAGATTGTTAATCTCTTCCGTGATAGAACGCTGCAAAATTCATATTTAGAGTGAAAACGCTTTCTACATCCAAACCTTGTACCAGATCCATGTCTTGGTATTTATTAGGTTTCAACTTTTTATGGGTTCTCTTCTCTAAGAAAATAACCAAAATTGCATCCTAATTATTAAAAAAAAAAAAAAAACAACTTTAAGGAAAAGAATAAAAACACCAAATACAGTGGCTTATGCTTGTAATCCCATCTTCTTGGGAGGCTGAGGTGGGAGGATCATGTGAGACCCGTAATTCAAAACCAGCCTGAGCAACATAGGAAGACTCTGTCTCGTTTAAAAAAAAAAAAAATGTATAGCATAAAGTTTCTACCCTAAACACATCACCTGTCACCCTGTGTACCTTCCCAAACACTCACACTTCTCATAGATAACCACCATTAATAGACAGTTCATGTATATTCTTCTAGTAATTTTTCTGGGTGATCATATACATAAAAATGTGTATACTTGCTATGTATTACACCTTACATAAACTCAATCATACTAAATGTTTAACCTAATTTAACTTGAAGTTTTTCCATGGTAATTTGTGTTTTTTAATTGTATAGTATTCCATCATTAATAAACATTTCCTTATTAACATTTAGATTTTTTAGATTTTCACTGTATAAACAATGGTTCAATAAACATACCTAAACCTTTAAACACTTTAGGAAATATATTTTCTTAGGATCACTACCTAAAATTAGGATTTCTGGATAAAAAGACATATGCATATTTAAGACTAGTGAAAATTGCCTTACTATAAAAAGGCATACTAGATTTTTATTCTTTATCCACATCCTTACCAATGCTGGCTACTGTCCATCTTTTTTTAATACTTACCAAATGGACCGAAAGGGATTTTTTTCACTGTTTTAATATGTATTTATTTAATTTTGGTACAGTCATACTTTGTTTCTTACAATTTGTCATTTGTATAAATCTCCTGTGAATTGCCTGTATATATTTCATGGCCACTTTCTCATTAGGATTTCTTTTTTTCTTACTGATTTCTGGAAATGCATTCATTGTTTATTCCTCTTCCCAGTTTGGTATCAAGTGTAATTTATGTTTTTCTTTCTCATAAAGTAGAATGTTTCATTTTAAGTTATATCAATTTTCCTTTTTTCTTAAGCGCAGTAAAAAAGGTACAACAGTGAAATTCTCCTCGTTTGTACTTGTCTACTCTGTTATTGGATAAGTAATCAGGATTGTTGGAAATAACATGATATTTTATATAGCAAGCAAATAATTCAAAGCGTGGGAAGTTAACATAGAGGAGGTGGCGGGGAGGCATCAAATCGTAGTCAGTAAGTTAACAATGAGGGAAATAATTTAATTTCATTCAGTGTTTACAGACATTGGAAAACATAGGCTGACACCTGATGGGTCTGGTTTCTTTTGTTGTAATTGTTTTGTCTCTTTAAAGATAACGTGAATTACTGCATGTGTAGAATGAATTAGAATATACCACAGTATCTTAAAGTTGTTGAGCATATACTTTAATCAATTGGATCTGCTTTACCTTCTTCTCCCCATCAAAAAATCATATGTTAAATGCCCATACCATATCTACTTATCTCCAGTAACTATTTAGCCTTAGCATTGCACCAGCCATACAGCCTTATTCACTCATTTAGTTTCTAAACATCATCATCTTAAATACTTTTTGTTTAAATTAGTTATTTTCTTTTTTAAAAAATTTTCCTTTTTTTGTTTTATCTTCTTGGATACCAAGTTTCAGTGAGTTAAGTGGCTATCAGAGTATTGGACAGGCGCCTCTTTGTTTGTGGATGAATGGTAGGAACTTTACATTTGATACTGTCTTATTTTAATGAGTCAATACAAAAAGTACTTCAGGGTATTTGTGAAATGTGTAAATCTAATGTTACATGAGAATATGGCTAAGACTTTGTTTATGGTTTTTAAATTTCTCCATTCTAAAATTATGAAGTTCAATTTATATTTAAATCTTATGCATGAAGAACATGCTTATTGATAAATCTAAAATCTCTATTTTAGAGCAATATACTTTGCTGCTTATTCAAACTGCAAGGAAAAGTTGAATGATGTATTTGATCCTGATTCTACCCAAGTACACATGATTTCAGCTGCAATGGCAGGTATGAATGTATGATATTAAAAAACAAAAAACTTTCTGAAACCTAGAGGCTTTATATTGAATTATAAGTTTGTATTGAAAAATTGATGATTAATGTGCTTTTCATTATTAGATGGTTTTTACATTTATTGATATAAAACAAATTAGGTATATGTAAAGTCTTCATCAGGTGACATTTTTGTAGTTAGGAGTTTACATGCTAGGGTACAGGTAAATATATTTATATTGCCTTGTGTAGTCCACTGAATGTTTAGTGATCATTGTTAATAGTTTTAAGAATCCAACCATAATTACAATATAAATAAATTATGGAGCTATAATTTACACTTCTCAATTTCTGTTAGTGCCTTTTCCCTTTTTGCTGCATGTTTTGGCTTCTGTCTGAAATGTGTCGGCAATTCTTGGTAAAGTATTCATTTTGTCCTGTGCTGAAATGCTGAAATTTTTATGAGTGATAAATTATTGATAATTCACTTACTATGTGTATGTTTTTAAATTGTTTATTATTCCACGTAAATTACACTAGATAGTACCTAAAATTTAGACACTGGCTGTGTGTACATGCTTACTATAGAAATGTTTCCAGGAACTCTCTTTTTTTCTGTCATCACTGATAAGTATATATGATTCTGAATTAAAATAACTAGTTTTAGGTCTTTGCACTGCCGTAAAGATAAGCAGTTGGAGGTTGGTTTGACCAGTCTCATTCTGGAATCATTTGCTATTATGCATGTTGGACAGAGCCATCCATGAACTTTGATTTCCAATAGAAAATTCTCTCCAGTATCTAAAATGTATTGCGTATTTACCCGTATCTCACATTTTCAAATTATACTATGACTTTATAAACTGCAGCTGCATTCATCAGCTATTGATCAATAAATTGAGTGTCAATTATGTACTTAATAATGAGTGAGTGCCTTAAACTGTTAAACACTTTCAGTTTAGAAATAAATTGAATCCATTTGACCTATATACTTCATGAAGTAAGTTTGAAATACAAATTTCTGAAAGATCGATAGCCCCCTCATATTACAAATTGGTTTTAAGGCTTTTTATATTTAATGATTGTCGATTGACTCACCGAAGCTTTAAAACTGGAAGAGGCAATCTAAAGGTCAAAATGGTGAAATTACTCTGATTTACCAATAAGGAGGCCTTGGACAATTTATGTAATTTGCACAAACCTGTGTTAGTTTACTCATGGAATGAGTCAGGTGGTCTACATAGATTTGGATTTTGAAAATTAGTTCTTTGATTTAGTGTCATAGAGACTATGTTGTTACAACTAGAATTATTTTTAATGTAATTTTTACAGATGTTGAATATTAATAGATAGGATTTTTCCCCTATGAATTTGATTGGATATAAGGTAAAGGTTGGTGGCCAGTGACAAACCTTATAACCACTCTATCAGGTTCTTTAAAAATTTATTTCTGAATTATCAGTGATTATGTTTTTGGCTTTTAACCTCAGATAATTATAAAGAAATGTTAATCTTATTTGAACGAACTGAAATCTAGAAAGTAGATGAGCAGCCATTTTAAATTGATATTTGTTATATCAGTATTGCAAATGTAGAGGTTCAGAATATCTTTATTTCCACTGGAACATCTTATTTCATTAGAGTAGGTCATCAGAATTTATTACTGTGTTTGTATCGCATTGCAAAGAATTTCGGAATTGTCAGTTTGCACTTTTTTCTCAAATGTGTACAAATGTTGATATGTAGTTTGTTTTTATCTGTATATTAATACCATTTCCCAACTTGAATTCCTTGAGTTTTGGTAAACTGGTAGTCTCAGACTTGTTCATAGATTATACTGCTTGAATTTGTTTGCAGTTACATTTTTCTGAGAATTGTGCTTTCAGAGCTTCTATTCATGAGCATTAACATTTAGCTTTGCAGTTTTATACATAACTATATGGTGGGTAAAACCGAATGGTCCAATGCAGACTTATTAAGGTAGCCTTTTGCCCCCTTTGTTCTTGAAATAATCTAGACCAGATTACTCGGGGGTTTTTTAGGATTATTTTTGTAGGTCTAAATATGAATAAAGATTTGGGAGTATGAAGTACTTAAAGATAGTTCTGGGAAAATCATTTTTAACTGTCTATTTTAAAGGGAAAAAAATGCTAACCTTGTCACTTTAGTACACAAAAACACACTAAAATAGACCGTTAATGATACTGTCTGCAAGATTTTAGCACACCAAATAGCACACCCATTAAGGATTTATAAGACAGAGTGTATATGTAATTTTTATTCCAAGTGACCTTTCAATTCATTTTGCATTTTATCCATATGAACTCATGTTTAAGTTAGATACTAAAAATGTACTTATTAAAAGGAGAGTTTATTTAAAGTGGATCTTTTTATTTGTTGTAGTGCACACTATAGAATTTGTAAGCCTTTAAAATTGAGTTATAAATTTTCATGCATTAAAGTTTTTCCATTTGTGAGGATAATCAAATTAAATAATGTTGACTCTTAATATTTTGCCTGCCTGTTTTTCCTCTTACACATGACTTTTGACAGACTAAATAAATCTTAGCTATTCAGGGTATCTATTTTCTTGCCTGTATATTTTGTTTAAATTAACTGTATATTCCTCTGTATACACACCTAGGCACAGATGTATGCAAAAAAAATTTATTACTTCTTTCTTTATAGTAATTCCCAATTTTTAAAAGATTTTATCTGGCATGTATATACTTTTATATACAACATTATAAATGTACAGGAAATGAATTCTGATTTTAATTGGATTATATATTCATACAGTTACTTCTCAGTTTTTAAAATACTTACATTTATTGAATGTTTCCTACATACCTAGTGGGTTTGATTTGCTTACAGTATACACTGTTATTTTTCAATTTATGTTTTTCTATTAGATTTAAACTTCATTATAATAAAGGCTTTTACTCATTAAATACAGGTATTGTCTTGCATTTATGAAATATTTTTAAACAATATTTTATTTGTCCATGGCAGTTAATTCAGCCAGATGGATGGTTGGACAGATGTTTTGTGTGTTTGTGTGTAAACATTCTTCCTGTTTTTTGTTTTGTAGAACACAAGAAATTAAATACAAAATAATGCAAAATATTTCATAAATATGGATGTGCAATATTACTGGCCATAGTGCAAAAGGTGAAAGGTACTATTGTAGCAATATATACTTTATTTTATTAAAAATTTATATAAATAGCTCCAAAATGAAGTTACTTGAATATTCTGTTGGGCTTTTTTTTTTTTTTTAAGATTTACTAAGTAGGCTGATTGTTAAAGAATAGAAATTGTGTTTTCAGCTCCTTAATCATAGTAGATAATAGTGGTAGGAAAATGGGACGTGATGATCCCCTCTAAATATTCCCTTTTGACAAGGTTAGCATTTTTTCTTTAAGGCAGAATTGATCTTCTTTTAGGTAAGTATTTAGATTCTGAAACTGCTGCAGATGGCAGGATTTTCAGTACTCGGTACATTTTTTTAAATGGCCCATTTTGATATTTCTTTTTTTTAAACTTAAAATTTTCAAAAAAGTTAGATCTCACAGTAAATATTTCTCAAATCCTTCCAATGGGATTCAGTTTGTACACATGTTTCTGATGAGGTCACTGCTTGTTGTTATGATACAGAAAAGCCTGTGTCTATTTTAGGCATTTACTGTACATTTCTCCCGAGAAAAGAGTGAGATCGTGTCATCTCATGCTCCCCATCCGCAGGTCACTTCCTGTAGAAATATGGACTAACTTAAACCTCGTGAGTACTGATCTGAGCATCTCTTGCAGCCTGTAGTATAAGAAACACACCCTGGGATTTTGTAATAGCTGTGGAATTAGAAGGCGGGAAATTAACTTTTATTTCCTGAATTTGTGTGTGCATTGCGTATTTTATAAAGGCTAAGTCTGATCCCATTATAATATTCCTTCTAGAAGGAAGAAAGATAACTTTCAGTCATCATGTAATAAAAGCCTGGGGTCTTCAGCTTGGCCATAACAGCCTTGACCCCCAAAGAATTTGTTAACTATATATATATATATGTATTGCTATAAATGATATTATACTATCTTAAAAGTTTTAGACAAAATCATAGTTCTCTTTGCTTAGCATAACATAATTTAAAAGCCTAATACAATGCTTTCCATTCTTTTGTCTTTTGATACTTGGCTTTCTTAGAGCTTTTTTGCAAAAAAACTAAATAAATAAATAGATTTTAATATCATTACTTTGCAAATAAATGCAGGATAAGAATATATGGGATCTTAGCTGTTTTAGTTTTAATTACTTTAAAAAGTAGTATTAATACATTTCTCTTAGGAGGTTAGGTGGGCTTTGTTCTTACAGAAGTTAGTTGAAATAAAAAGTACTGAAAATGCAACACTACAGGTATCACTCACTTAATGAAAACATTTTCAGCAAGTTTAAGCAGAATTTTTCTGTTAATCTGGTTTTTAATTGGTTGACAACTATCAAATGGAGTCTTCAATAAAGCAAAACTTTTAAAATAGTTTTTTTTTTTTAATGTTTTTTAAGCTTTCTAATACGCTAACCACCCTACTAACAATATGGCCAATATACTGGCACTTTGCTTTAACTGACTGTGGAACAATATTAGTTCTTCTTCACTTACAAATGGATCCCTCATGTCATCTTAAGTTCATTTTAATGTTTCACTGGGTGCTCAGAATCTTAATATAAATTAGCATGTTATCAAAATGTCACAAAATTAAAATGAAAAATAAAAAGTAATAGGCAATTTCTAAATTTCAGGGGCACCATTCCCAGTATCTTTGTGTGCGTTCGTCTTATAAGTAGTACAAAGAATGTTTAGCTTTGGCTAACCTCAAATTGCCTTACCATATATAATGCTAAGTTATGATAAATTTTTGTTTTATTCCATTGGCTTTATTAATTAGATTAGTAGATTATATTTATTAGATGTAATTAGTCTAGTAATGTCTATTTAGTTTGTTAAAGTGTCTTTGGTTAGGAGAATAATAGCATAAAACTCAAGGACCTGAGTTTTAAGTGGTAAAAGGCTAATAGCGGATTGTGCCTAGATTATTTACCTACCTATATTTACCATATAACCTATGGTTTGCTTGCAGTTAGGCTAGTGTCTTTATTAAGAGCTAGCTCTCATTAGGAGAATTGAGCCAGAGCAACCGTAGTAAACATAGCTTGCTGATAATAGCAATTACATAGGGATAAGATGACATTCTCTCACTTACCTAAATTTTAATGTGTCCTGTTACATAGGTTAATTTGTGCTTGGAAATGAGTTTTAGTTAAGTGAGAAATACCTGTTGTTTGCTTTCTGACATTATACTAATATGTACAGAGAATAATTTATAATTTTGGGATCTTTAAAAAGTTTTATTCCTAACATTTACAAAAATTTATTGTATTGTAAAGTTTTTTATGTATGGGTTTTTTTCCAGCCTCAAAATCTTTTGTGACTTGGAAGAGTATTATGGACAGAAGCTTGGGTATTAACTTTATGTTTTTAGAAATAGAGCTTTTATTTAAAAAAAAAACCTTAGGTGCCCATCTTCTTTACAAATAAGCATAATAAGATGAATGAGAACTTTCACCTAGATTGGCTTTTTTTTTTTTAAGTTTGATGTAATGATTCCCATTTTTAAGCTTTTAAAATTCAATAAAAAGCAAATTGTTTTTCTTAAGAGTTCTACAAAATGATTAATAAAAATTATTGTTAGTAATGCAGAATATTTTGTTGGTTTATGCTGCTTAGCAGCTTTTTACTAATAAACCCTTAATTTTGCTGTACAGACATTCAGCTAATACAAATATTTAAGTTTATAAAACAAGGATCATTAAATTGGAGTTTTACCAGAATATTGATGTCTGATTGCTTTAAAATATAATTTGAATATCCTAGCCTTTTCACTTAGAAAAATGAGGTTCAAAAGAAGAAAAAAATAATACTCTACCACTTTGTTCTCAGTTAAGCTAGAACCATGCAAGAAAAATATTTAAACTGGACTGATAGTTTTATGTTTTTCTTTTCATTTCTTTTACCAAAAATAGATGCATGAAAAGAACCTTTTATTTAAAAAGATGTTCCTGGCAATCTGCTCAACACTTTAAATTTTATCAATTTAGTACCTGCTGATGCGCCTAAAATTCTTGGTCCCATTCTAGTTTTATACTTATGTATGTAGTATTAAAAGCACTTAAGAGAAATGTAGACTATGTAATCTTTACAAAAGTATTAAAGGAGTTATTTAAACGGAATTTTTGCTCTATTTATCTTGTTTGCTAAATAGATTTAATTGGAGCATCCATCTGTGTAACATCTGGCTATTTCTACAGTGTTAAAACAGTGGGTGAAGGAAGTAAAATTTGAGTTAACCAGTTACTGACATAGAAAAGAACCTTGTGAGACCAAATTCAGCTTTGTAAACAATTTAGTCTAATTATTTTGCATATGTAGATAATACCTTTGAAAGCCAAGAAAGGTTTATGATTGGATCTGTATATCAATATTAATTTTTTTAAAAATTATTCTTAAGTACATTATAGCACTTCTGTTCCTGTAAGTACTTTACTCATCTTAAATATAGTGATCATAAGCTACCTTTATAAAAATAATGTGCTTGACCTGCTAGTATTTGATAGGAATATTAAAACAGTTAAGATCCTTAAACATTTCTGCACATAAGTTTTTATTGAATTTAAAGGCCAGTTGAATAAATGTAGCTTAACGTGAGTAGTTATATGAAGTCTGTGTAAACTAAAACCCTGTTTTGTGTAGATAGAGCAATCTTTGTAAGTTTCTGTCAAGACTGTATTTAGTGTGCTATTTTTCCATAGCTAGGAAGGTGGCAAGTAAAACATATACAGTAGCCTAGAAACAGACTGTTCCAGGTAGATCTTAATTTACTACCTGGAATGAGCCATCTTAGGTGACCACCATTTTGCACCAATACTTAGTACATAGTACTTTACTTTTAAAGTAAACTAGAGCTGTCTTCTACCCTGAGTTTCTTTCTTCCATGTCTATAAAAGTAAGAGGGAGCTTCCAATTTGTAATTTTTTGAACTTTTGAGTTTCTGTATGTGTTTAAGTAGATGAAAATAGATCTGTCCTATTAACCCTAACAAAAATCTTACTTCTGTGATACCATTATTTTAACAGTATTAGTAATATGTAGAAAGTATTCATGGGCCAAACAACAGTCTTTTCTACTATATAATCAACTAAAGATCAAAATATTGGTAAAATTTGACATTTATGGAGAATTCATTTTGAATGTGGTGATTTGGGATGCTAATTGAATCCCAGGTAGCTGTTTTTCTAACTGGTTTTTTGGATCCCAAGTGCATGCTTTTTAGCCATAGAATACACAAAATGTCTATGTGTTGTAGAGATGGATTTCTGAATTCAGCTTAGACAGTAGAGAGTACCCTAAAGGATATTCTAAATTTTAAAAGCAATTCATATTTGTTTTGCTCTTAAAAGAATCTGTTAGTTAAGGACAGAATTTGAGAATTGATATAGATTGGAAATGAAGATTAATGTTTGTCATTGTATGGATTTGTAAAATGAAAGTAACATACACACAAATTAATAGTTTAAATATTTATATACATTTTCTTGAATGTAGATTGATATAATTTTTAAAACCTTAAAGTTAATAGTGTATTCTTCATTTTTACCAGAGTTCATTTTAAACATGTTTGTTTAGGTTTTACTGCAATCACAGCAACCAACCCCATTTGGCTTATAAAGACTCGGTTACAGCTTGATGCAAGGTATGTTAACTCCTTACAATGGTTAAAGTGGACTTAACTAATTTTTTTCTACAGATTTTTTTTTTCTTACCTTTTGCTGCTGAATTTGTTTTTTGTTGTTGTAGTTTAGTTTTCAAACTTGGGTCTGCCATCAGAAAAAAGATAATGTAATAGTTGACAGTATGAGCTTTTCCAGGTGAGAAAGGTGTATTATTAATATGTGTTGTTGTTTTTTTTTGTTTTGTTTTAAAAAGAGTGGCTAGAAAGATTCCATAGAGAAAAAACAAGAAAAGAAAGAGATAAATTAACCCAGCCAAAAGGTAGTACTTCCCCTGCATGGGTATTTATACTTGGCCTCGCAGAGCTAAATAAACCACAAGGTCAGCTAGTCTAGACTGAATGTTTGAGAATCATTGCTTAAATTTAGTGACCTTATGTATAGAGAACTCTAGGCTGAGAAATAGTTTGCGTATATCATCTGTTACCACAGACCACTTTACAATAGCAAGATTCATTCGTTCAACAAATCTGTATTAGCAGATGCTGCTATGTTTTAGAGATGCACTTGGAAACAGTGGGAACTAATTTTAAATGGAGTAATCAAGGAATGGTTTTTTGAACCTATTTTAAGCAGAGGAACCAACTGTTGCAAACTTGAGAGGTTCTAAAGTGTAGAGCCTTTGGTGTTCTGGGAACTGAGAGTAGGCCAAAAGCAGTGTTGTATAGAGTCTTGCCATCTTAACTCTCCTATTGACTTTACAGTAGAGACTAGGGAAAGATAATACTTTTAAGTAGAGAGATGGTCCTATGTTATATGTTACAATAATAATGGTTTTGAACTGTTTTAGACTTTTAGTCTGGAGTAGGTTCTGTGTATAACATGTTTCTTCTGTTTTTATATTTTGGTGTTTGGAAAATAGTGTTACATCCAATAGGTTTAAAAGCTAACAAATCATTAACAATTATGCCCGCTAAGATACCTGTTTTCCATCTTCTGTCACGTTGAACTATATACTGTTTGGAAACTTGAAAAGAAATATCTAATTGTTTCATCTAAAATAGATATTTTAATGAAATCTTAAGTGTTGTAGCAAAACTCCAAGTTTATTTCTTAAAGCCAAATATCTGAAAAGTAATAGTAACTAAGACTTATTCCAAAGCTTAGAAAGTACAGGATGCTAGTTTACTATTGTAAACTACCAGAGTTAGGTTTCACTATGTTTAGGGTTGCTCTGTAAGGAATCTAGGAAAAGCATGACTTACAACTCTTTTTCTTTTTTTTCTGAGATGGAGTTTCACTCTTGTTGCCCACGCTGGAGTGTAATGGCACGATCTTGGCTCACCGCAACCTCTGCCATCTGGGTCCAAGCAGTTCTTCTGCCCCAGCCTCCCAAGTAGCTGGGATTACAGGCTTGCACTACCACACCCAGCTGATTTTGTATTTTTTTTTTTCAGTAGAGGTGGGATTTCTCCATGTTCGTCAGGCTGGTCTCAAACTCCCGACCTCAAGTGATCTGTGCCTTGGCCTCCCAAAGTGCTGGGATTACAGGCATGACTTAAAACTCTTTAATATTATTTTTTTCCCACTTACAGTTATAGCACAAGCTAGCACAATTCTTATGCTTGTGAGGGTGGGGAATTGGTTAGGGATGGGGTAATAATGAAAGGTTGACTTGAGGATTCTAGTTTATAGGGCTGAGGGCTGGGTGTAGTGGCTCATGCCTGTAATCCCAGCACTTTGGGAGGCCAAGACAGGAGGATTGCTTGAGGCCAGAGATCAGCCTGGGCAACATTGCAAGACTTCATCTTACAAAAAAATGCATGTCTGTAGTCCTAGCTACCTGGGAGGCTTGAGGAAGGAGGATTGCTTCAGCCCAGGAGTTTGAGGCTGCAATGAGCCATTACTGCACTACTGAGACTCCATCTGTTAAAAAAAAAANCCAGGATGGTCTCGATCTCTTGACCTCGTGATCCACCCGCCTCGGCCTCCCAAAGTGCTGGGATTACAGGCTTGAGCCACCGCGCCCGGCCAATATAATGCTATTAACGGGGACGTTCGGTGCAGCTTCTGCAGAGCGCCATCAGGACAAAGGCCTCCCAGCCAATGCAGGCCAGCCCGACACAGCCCCTCAGGAGGGACTCAGTGCCCCTCGAGGCAGTTTTAGCCTTAAAAACCAGAAGCCACACAGACATCCACATTGGGTGGATTTGGCGGGCCTCAGAGGCCTCATAGCCGCAGAAGGCCCTGCCTTCCCGAACGCAGACAGTGCGGGTCTCATCACAGCCAGTGTCTTTGTTTTTCTGTCCCTCCGCTGCATTTCAGGGGATACTGTTCGGCCTTCACCCAGTCACGGGTGTAATAACACACATGAATGACTAACACGGGACTTTTGCCTTATGCACACAGAACTGCACGGGAGAAACAAAACCACCAGTGAGCAGAGGCCAAGGCCTGGCTCTGCTGAGAGCATCCCTGCTACAGCAGCCTCAACCTGCTACAGAACCCATGGGAACCGGCTTCCAGAGGTGCCTTTTTCTGGGGTCCTGGTGCACGGCCCCCGCCACCATGCTCAGGTGGAGCTTGAAGCTCTGAGACCCCAGGCGCCCATGGCTGCCATGGCTTTGTGGCCCAGTCCCCAGCATGGGTGGACCCAATTTTGAGGTCTTGTGTCCACTCCCTGCAGTTGATGCTGACATTATTGTCTGCTTGGGGTTTCAGCCAATACTTTGACATTTCTAAGATGGACTTGCCGAAAATAAGTAAAATACACTTTGAGTCAGTTACGTGTTTTTTTGTTTTTTTTTAAATTAAGATGGAGTCTTGCTCTGTCACCCAGGCTGGAGTGCAGTGGCGCAGTCTCAGCTGACTGCAACCTCCATCTCCCAAGTTCAAGTTATTCTCCTGCCTCAGCCTCCCGAGTAGCTGGGATTACAGGTGCCCACCACCACGCCCAGCTAATTTTTGTATTTTTAGTTAGTAGAGACAGGGTTTCCCTATGTTACCCAGGCTGGTCTCGAACTCCTGACCTCAGGTCATCTGCCCACCTCGGCATCCCAAAGTGATGGGATTACAGGTATGAGCCATCTCACCCAGCCTATGTAAGTCTTAAGACTAAACTTACTTTTAAAGATTGCTGATCCGAAGTTTGCGAGAATATAATTTTGGCCATATTCTCCTTTCCTTCCAACTCTAGTTTTCTCAGTTTCAAAATGGTTGTATATTAATCTTTAAAAACTAAAGTTTCAGTCACAGTGCTTTTTTGGGGGAGGGGTAGCAAATTGTCTAGGGAGATGGCACATTGATCTCTCAAGTTGACACATCTATGGGAATCAGTAGGTTCTTTTTTAGCCATATTATTTTCCTTGGCATAGCCAGCTCCAAACTGCAGCAGCCTGTCTTTCTGCAAGGAGACAAACGAAGATTTACAGTTTCTGGCCCAAACTCTGGTAGCAAATGCCAGACCAATTTAAATGAGGGTTGTACCCAGGGTGAAAATTTACAAATGCCACCTGATGCAAATCGAGATGGTGGTTAACCTGGGAGCGGGGAGGGCTGGGGTGAGGGAGGGAGCCGTGGGCTCGTGTGTGGTTTCTGTGTGAACATGTGTGCTGTGTGCAGGCATGTGGTCTGAGCACACGCGTGTGTGGCCAGTGCGTGTGTGGCCAGGCTGCCTGAGTGGTCTGTCCAATACCCACGGGATTGCTCATCCAATGAGCAAGTCATCTCTCTCATGCTCGCACAAATGTTTCATGTAATACATTTCCAGCCAGGAAGACTTTCACTTAAGTTTTTCTTTTGCTTTTATTACAAGCATATAATATTAATTGGCAAAACACTGAATACAAGCTTCACTATCATAAAATAAAAACATTTAAGCAATATTCCAAAAAAGATTTTAGACAAAAACTAGCCACCAAGAGTACAAAAATTACACACCAACACAAAGCATAAAAAATGTAAACTTTCAAATTAAACAGTCAAAAACATCAATCTGCGTGATCACCTCCACACCTCACTGCCTTTGTCTGCCGCACGCTGCTGGTAAAGGCTGGGTGGCTGCACTGCCGTCTCCTAACCCCACCTTGCTTTCGTCTGGGAAAATGCGTCTGACAGCCAATTAAACCACAGGAGTGGACGTTCACACGGAGGGCAGGCACATCTTAGGGGACACTCAAGCTGCAGTTCGTTCCTCAGATGCACCGTTGAGTGCGAAGGACACCTGGTGGCTGAGGGAGGCCTCAGCGCGTTCCTGCGGGGCCCTGGCCATGTGGCCACTGCCTGCACTGTCCCCTGCCTGGCAGGGGACATAATATTTGTACAGATTATGGTATAATTTGAATGATTTTCTAATCCACTTATCTCAATTTATTTAGTTTATTTAAACGTCAAGGCAGAGAAATACATTGCTCATGTTAAGGTCACGTGATGTGGTGGTGCAGTAATGACTTCCTGAGGAAACAGAGAAACTGGATGTTTAGTGATTTAGCTATGTGCACTAAACTTATTTTCTATGTTTTGAGAGCACATGAAACATTCACGTACAATGTGGTAACAGGCTGGCTCGTACCCAGAACGTCCAACCCAATGCCACCCTTTGAATCGCTATGAATGCCGTCCTGCTGCCGTTCAGAGAAAACAAGCAAGGCTGCAAAGCCCAGGGGTTCAGGCCGCTGCAGCGCTTGGGCCAGGGCAGCTCCGCTCTCACAGTCTGAGGCCACGTGGCCCCGTACCAGGGCGGCCTGGCCACAAGCATGTTGGGGGCCAAGGCACCAGGACCCAGGAAGGACCGAGGTGGCCCCACAGCGCGGCCCGAGGCATCACTGGCTCACAGGCACTCACACACAACCCCAATAACAGCATCCTCACAATAACCCATGAAAAAGGAACAACAAAACAGCTGAATGTACACATTTTGGAGTTCCATCTATATTCCCTTTCAGTTTAGCAGAATAAATGCTACAATTTAAACAGATGTCTAATAAATGTGTGTTGGAACCTATTGCACAAAAGCATTAAAAAAATGCTCTTCATCCACATAAAACAAAAACATACAAATTAAAAGCTACTCAAAGTAAAAAGAAGCTTGCAAAACATCTCACAATTTCATTTTATATGCCTGTAAATAAAGCTGGACCACAGAAACCAAACAACTGGATGGGAAAATATGATAGAAGGCTTAAAATAGAATAAATAATTTTATAAAGTTAAGTTTTCTTTTTTTAACCCCCCAAATCTTAAATTCAATATTATATATTCTATTTGAATTTTCTATTTCCATGAAAACTGCATCGGTGAGACCGTATTCTGGGTAATTAGCCCCACTGCTGTTGAAAACGACGCATAAGGTGATTTAACAGCATTTGTTTTACCAGCGTAAATAGTTGTGAAAACTCTTCACAGTAACTCCATCTGTTAAAAAAAAAAAAAAAAAGAAGAAGAAAAAACAAAAATAGGGCTCGTATGTCACCTTTTAGGATTTGTAACAAGGATCTCTAATGGCGGAAACTAGTTACAGTTGGTTATGTGTGTCATTTATCTAATAGGTGTTCAATATCTAAAGACAATCAGCTCATAAAACTGGTGGAATCTGTAGGTGATTAGATGAGTGTTGTAGTTGTGGTTTTATGTCAGAAACAAGTTAGAAATAATTTACAAATAGGTAAATTTTATATTTCTTTTATAGGTAGCATTTAAACCTATCTCTTATAGATAAAGTCCTTTTGGTGGAACCAGTGTAAGGTAACAAATATTGTTAAAACTCAAAATTATATGCATATGTAGGAGGAGATTTTGTATTCTATAAGAGTAAGTACTGCCCCCTTAAGGAGAACTAAAAAATTTGTCTTAGATTACTGAATAAATACTTTATTACATTATAGGTTCTCATTCATATTAACCAGGGAGACTGACATGGCCATTGCCTTTAAATGATCACAGGGAGTTTGACTTATATTCATGCTATCACTTCTTGGGGAGACTGTGAATGGGGTTGGAAGAGAATCCCTCATGTGCAGAGAATTTTAATTAATCACACTGCTTGCTTTATGATATGCTATCATCATTAGTGTCTCAGTCATTCTATTTGTGTTACTAAATGCAAAGGAAATTCAACTTATTTAGAACTGGAATTTATATCACCCATTTAATATGACAAATTTGGGACAAATGAATAGGAAATCTATAATATGAATATTGTTTTAAAATTCTAATTTAATTCTTTATGAATTAAAGAAGTCCATTCTTTATTGTTAGAGTGACATATTTTACCATACTTTACTTACTTTATTTAAAAACCTGTGCTATTTGATTTATCAGTGAGATGTTTCTTTTTGCTTTTTAGGAACCGTGGGGAAAGGCGAATGGGTGCTTTTGAATGTGTTCGTAAAGTGTATCAGACAGATGGACTAAAAGGATTTTATAGGGGCATGTCTGCTTCATATGCTGGTATATCAGAGACTGTTATCCATTTTGTTATTTATGAAAGTATAAAACAAAAACTACTGGAACATAAGACTGCTTCTACAATGGAAAATGATGAAGAGTCTGTGAAAGAAGCATCAGATTTTGTGGGAATGATGCTAGCTGCTGCCACCTCAAAAACTTGTGCCACAACTATAGCATATCCACATGGTAAGAACAGTTGGGTTTATGTGAGTAATATTTTATTAAATCAGAAATATTTTCCCACCCCAGCCAACACCTCACTTATTAAAGATTTATAATTTTACTGCATTCTGGCATAACAAAATACAATTCTTGGGAATTCATAATGAAATTAAATCTGGTTAAGTAATGTAGACTGTATTAATAATAGGTCAGTATTATGCTTGCTATCAAATAGCATGGTGGTGATTGAGCATGAGCTCTGAAGTCAGTCAAATTCCACCCTTACTCACTTCAGCTTGTTGACTTGGGGGCAAGTTTCTAATTTTTGAAAAAAGCCTGTATGTACGTGCTATGGTAGATAGTTTACATACATTACTACTAATCTACATAAAAATTATCTATTTATTTTTGCTGTTATGCTAGAACATAACCAGAATTGTTCTCCTTTTCAAATGGAGTACTGAAAAGAAACGTAAACATTAAATAACTTGTATTTTATTTGTAAACATTAAATAAGTAGGTCACATACCTACATAATGGTGAAACTCAAATTTGAATTAAAGTCTGTAATCCCAAAGACCAAGCTATATTTTACATTGTTTCATGTTGACAAATAAGTATATGTTAATAATTTCTTCTTTTATTTCTGTATTTAAGTTTTTATAATAGCCTATTTCATTAACAGCTAGATAAATCACTTACGAATTTATCTGCTACCTGCTGAGGTTTCTTGGTAGCTTTTTTGATTATTTTATTTAAGTGTAGCTTTTGATTTTTGCATATTTAAGATTTGTTTTTTAATGTAAGCGCTTCATTTTTGTTCACTTGACTGATTAACATTTTTCTTCTCCATTGTATATCGTATCAGGAAAAATGAGACAGGCCTAGAAAATAAGTGTTTGCTCTAATGATAATTTATGAAACAAACTCTGACTAGGTTGGACTATGAACTTATCTCAGCTTTCTGAAGGAAGTTCCTGACTTTTCTAAAAGAAGACAAAATAGGACAGTATCAGCAATACTGTTTAGGTACTGACCTCCTGTGGGTGGGTTAGGATGGTGGCCGCTAAGGTGTAAGGGATAGAGTTTTGAAGTTTAAGCGTCTTTTCCCTTGAAGTGAGAGGATTTCATTACAAGAAGAGGTACAGTTGATAAACAAGATACTTTGTTCTTTTTTTTTTCTAATAAACAGGATCTCACTCTGTCATCCAGCTTGAGTGCAGTGACATGATCACAGCTCACTGCATACTTGAACGCCAAGGCTCAAGTAATCCTCCTGCCCCAGCCTCCCAAGTAGCTGGAACTATGGACTCAGGCCACCATGCGCAGCTAATTTTTTTTTATTTTTAGTAGAGACATAGTCTTGCTGGGTTGCCCAGGCTGGTTCCAAACTCTTGGGCTCAAGTGATTTTCCCACCTCGGTCTCCCAGAATGCTAGGATTACAGGCATGAGCCACCACACCTGCCAAACAGGACATTTTGGAGTTAAATACATAAATGGCATGAATCTTTAAGACAGAACAGATTTCAAGTAAATAGTTACAATTGCTGTGGGTTGTTTTAGACTATTTCCCCAGGCCCATCAGGAATATTTTGCTGAAAAAATTTGAGAAATCGTGGATGTAAAAGAGTAGTTAGTTACATAGGAAGCTCTGAATTCTTGTTCCATCCTCCACCCTCAGCTGGCCAAAATCTCTCGGTATCTCACCTTTTAAAATGAGGAAAAATTGTGCTGACTAATCTTTAAGGTTCGTGACTTTTGCTTATTTGATTCCCAGGCTGGTTTTTATAGCTGGCAGCTACTGTTTTGAATATTTTCAGCTTCTTTGTCCACATGATGTTTCACATTCATATATGTGGACTATTTTGAATAGATTATTAATGCTATTGTTTCTTTGTACTTTTACTTTTTAGAAAATCTTTTCTGCTTGTTTCTCACTATATTCTTTTCATACTCATCCTGGATGCTACCTCTACTCTTTCCTGCTGCTTCATCTTATTCTCCTTCTCATATCTGTCCTTCCTTTTATCTGTTTATCTAGCATATACACTGGTACTTTTGTTTTATTGTGTCTTTTTACATTCGAAGACTATAAAGTCTTATCATTAATGTACATGATTTTGGCCATATTCGAAGTTTGGTGTTACTATAATGTGTCTGGTTGCAATAAGCTACACATTGGAAGCCACTCCTTTTTTATCCTGAGCTTATACTTACAGACTGATAAATGGGATATGCTCAGTTATAAGAAGAGTATAAAGATGTTAATAATTTTTAAGTAAAATGATTTTATTTCTTTCCTAAACAGAAGTTGTAAGAACAAGACTACGTGAAGAGGGAACAAAATACAGATCTTTTTTTCAGACGCTATCTTTGGTTGTTCAAGAAGAAGGTTATGGGTCTCTTTACCGTGGTCTGACAACTCATCTAGTGAGACAGATTCCAAACACAGCCATTATGATGGCCACCTATGAATTGGTGGTTTACCTACTCAATGGATAGCAGCATGAGGGCTGCTGTACTACAACGAAGGAAGACCAAAAGATGACAGTGGACCATGGAATATGGAAGCCAGCATGGTGGACAGAAGAAAATTTGTTTGGGAACATGTAACTATTCTAAGTGGAAGTTGTGTTGTAGGAATTATAGTAATCACACCACATTACTTGACTTTTCAGTAATGTGAATAAAAAAAAACCTCAGAGCCTCCAAGGAAATGCCTTTAGAAGCACTCCTCTCAAAATTGCCATTTTCTCTACCATGTCCACCGGACACAGTTGGGTTTTGTTGATTTATGGCAGTCTTCTAAAAAAAGCCATCTTTAATTATATGCTGTACTTACGTAACTCTCCAAAGATAGTATTGGCAGTCATAAATTTGTAACTTCTGGATTTTCTTTAATCCCATTAAAATAACAATCACAGTGAGATCATCAGTATTATTTCACATTTCCCTGAGAGGACCTGGCACAATATTTTAAATTTAATTATTTGGCAGTAGTCACTGTTTTTGACAGCCAATGAAATAGTGTCTAAATATCGTGTACATTTTTAGCATTAAAATGTTTCGGTGTCCACTGCTAACAGGTGCTTGTTGTTTAGCTTAATGTGGATATTTAAATTGTTAACATACCCAACACACATGGTAGGAGTTTGGGACAAAATAGTAAAATGTTGATTCTCGGCTATTTCACTGACTACAGCATGTCCTCATATCTTCTCTAATTTTATGGTACATGAATGAATGCAGTTATCTTTTCAGTGACTTACTAGATAATAAACTTGAATTATCACCTGTTTGTCATACTTAAGAATTGTTTACATAAAGTGTAAGATTTTTTACTTTTGAACTTTTCTCTACTTGCTTTCACATTAAGAGTTTGAACTTTTGGATTTTTTTCCTGGTCTATATATAATAGATTACATTTATTTTGTAGAGAAAATGGTAATTTAAAGTTTTGCTCTTTTAAGGTGACATTAATATTTGGGACAGTATAAATATTATAGACAAAGGCCGCCCTGCTATCTGCTTCAGCAGATAGTGATATTAATTGACTTCTAGTTTTGTGTAAATGAACAAACTGCTTTTGACAAGAAATTTATTCTGTCCTCGTTTCCTGAGTGGTAAAGCATAGAAAGATTCAAGTTCATTTGGGATAAATGTGCTAACAGGATGTAGCTTTAAAGTTTTGCTATTGAGTCAGCTGTACCTTTTTAATACTTTAAATGTGTTATAAGTATGGTCCTTATAAAAATGTTTGCTATAATTCTGTTAAAAGACTTCGCCTATGCTATACTGGTGTATAAAAACTGCTATGATTAAACGCCAGTGTGGTACGTATTTCATTATACCTGAACTGTACATTTTGTGCAATGGCTTTACTTTAAAGAATGACTCTTTGTGAAAGCACTTTGTGGCCTTTTTGGGGGGTGAGAGAGTAGGAGAGAATTCCATGGTAATATTTCTTTTTAGAAAAACATTGGTGTGTATTAGGCAGAAAGTGTTCTTAACATTTTTCTGGGTTTTAAGTATGTTGTTTTGGAGATCTTTAATATAAATGTTTTAGGTATCCTGTACCCTGTAGTGCCCCCAACATAGAATATTGCAGCATGTTATTGCAAGCTTTCTCTGCTGTCACCAGTGAAACAGTGCCCTCTTAAATTCCCCTACCTTAACTTCCTTGTGGTCAACAGTAACTGGATGTTTTTGAGGTGCTCAGTTGGAATAAAAGTATTCCGATCTATTTTGAGACCAAAGGCAAAATCCGTTTTCTGACCTTTGGAATTATTAGTACCTTTTATGGTAAATTTCAGCCTGACATGTATTTTGAGGAACATACCAAAAACACCCAAAAACGGTTTGTAACAAATCTGTAGAGAAGGTCTGAATCTATCATGTTTGCCTTTTCAGATGCCATTTCTACTGCCTAATACAGTGCCATTTGCCTTGTGAAGACTCATAAACATTCGTTGTGTTGAATGTAAGATAGACTCTCCCTAGTCTTACTGATCTCAGTACCCCACAAATGATTAAGAATGATACGAAAACCAGCAGCTAAGGAACATCTTACTATTTAGTTGTAGCAAATTCATAACAAGTCAAGTGTCCTTCAAGGATGAACATATATTCTATTTCTATTTGTATTTAGCAAATAAAACTTATGTTGATCTTTAGTGCATTATATTCAGCTTTTAAAAGTATTATGTATGTACTGGAAAGAAAAGAAATCTTTTGAGTCTTAGACATTGTTTATTTGTGCAACAACTGGAAAGGAGCAATGAATTTTATTTCAGTTGTATTTTTCCCTAAGTACAATCTGCCATAGCTTACTTTATGTGTGACAAAGATAATTCAAAAAGGAAAACCGTATATAAAAGTTGTATATAAAGTTTGTCTCTGAAATATTTCTTTGAAGTTTTTAAAAAATTGGCTCATGTTTAAAAACAAAAACATATTCAAAGCATTGGACTTTTTAACTTGTTTTCATCTGTTTATCATAACTTTTATTTCTGTTGTAGAGGTAGTCCTCATTATTTAGATTGTATGTACTTTTAAATTTCAGAGTTCAAATCTGAAGGATTACCAACCCTGTGATTTCGGGATACCATGCAGTGCTTTTAATCCTAAGAAGAAAACGATCACTGAAAGTTGACTTGATTCTCAATATGGGATTTTCTAAAACCATTCTTTCTAGATGCCCCCCCCCAATGGATTTGTAACTTTGAAGTCAGGGTAGAATATCATTAGATTATCTGTGCAATAGCATTATTATGCTAGGACCAGCAGAGTTTGGGTTGGTAAAAATAATGTTTATTACTGGATTACAGACACTTCAGCATTTTTAGATTGGTTTTAAATCACTAAAAATACTCAGACTTGAAGGATTTAAGTGCTAGAAATCAGTCCATTTCTTACCCTTCAAGAATGGTCCATGTCTGCCTTTTGTTGTTTACATGCTCTTCTACCCAGACAATTAGTACTCTAGGGACCCCCTTTGCAGCTGATAAATAAAGTTCAGCCTTTTTTCCTCAAATATCTAATGACTTTAACATTCCTAAGAATATAGGTATTTCTGAATTTAAATTGGATGAACTTTAATATATATAATAGAATGCACAAACTTTCTGCCCACTCAGATCTCTTCCCCATCATGTGCTTGTATTTCCCATTAACCTACATGCTGATTTTCATGCTACTCCTTCTAGAAACCAAATTCTAGTTTGACTCAGCTTTTGTGTTTATAAACTTTTGGAATGTCTACCCCCTGTGTATGTGAACAATGATGACCCATCAGTCATAGCTAAATAATGAACTTCAAAAGTGTTTAACTTTTGACCATTCATGTGAGGTTTGCTCTCTTGCATTTATGTACATGGCTGTAAATTATGTGCATTTACTCTGTATTTATGTTATCTAGCTGACTTCTACTTGAATTGTTCAAATTTTAAAAATTAAAATATGCTATGAAAATGTGGTTTTCTATAATATGTCAACATTTTGTTGAGAATGTAATCACACTTAGGATTATCCTATGTATTGCCATTTTTATTAGGCTTGTTTGATTCAGTCAGCAAACCTTATCTTGAGCACTTTGTATCTGTTAGACTTGGTGATGTCTATAGGACCCAAAAGGTCAAATAATCTAACTCCCTCATGGTGTAGTAAGAAATCTTGCATATCTTCTGCAGATTTATTGACCTTTCTCCAATGCTTTTCATGTTTTAATTTCAGCCTTTGTGAAAGTTGATATTAAAAATACAGAGGGAAGAACTTGTTAACTGAATGAATCCACGTATGTTAGGTGGAATTACAAATGACAGATAAAATGCTATGTAGTGCCTACCCTCTTTACATTTTGTCTATTTTACTTAAAGTTTTCCTAAACGGTAGTTAGCATCAAACATTGCCCAGTCTTGTAGGTG